AACGGAGCGTTGCGAAGAGTGGAGTTGTGGAGATGGAGGAGAGGGAAGAGAAGGAACAGGAGGTGGATCAGTGTCCATTGAAGGTTTAGTCTCTGCAACATATTCTGAAATGGCTTCAAGTGTTTCTGAATTCAAAGATGTATGGGAGACAATATTGGAGGTAGGAGGAGAGTGAGTAAAGATTGGGACAGTAATGGACTGTACCAAAGAAGGGGGGGACGAAAGAGTGTAGGGGACTGGAGAAGTGTGGGAGGGGACAGAAGAGGCAGAAACCTGGGAGGTGGCATAAGAGAGAGAAACATGGGAGGGGATGGGGGTGGAAGGCATAGTACGAGGAGGAGGGTGAACCTCCACACTTGTAATAGAGTCAGATAGAGGGGAAGAACTAGGTACAGAGACTGGAAAGGTCAAGTGCAGAGGTGGAAGAAGGGAAGGAAGGGGCAATGAAGATTTGAGCACTGGGTTTTTTTTGGACTTCTAAGAAGTAGAGGGGCGATTGGTAGAAAGTGTCGTACGGGGTCTTGTCGATACCGGGGCTTGTGAGGAAGGACGTGAAGATGTGAGAACAGACTGAGTTGTAGTCGGGACGTCAGAGCCAAGGACAGCAAAAGGATTAGATGCCAGTGTGGCTATGGGAGGGGTAACAACAGAGGAGGCTGCAGAAGATGGGACTCCAGAAGTGGGGGGACGTTTTGAAACACGAGAATAAGAAACAGGGTAGTCTCCCTTGGAGGCGGAGACGAGTAACTGCCATAGCATAAGGGAGACCTTCTGCTTCTTTGAGGCAACAGATTTCACGCTCATTCAAGTAGACCTGGCAACGGCAAGAGTATGAAGGATGAGCCTCATTACAATTAAGGCAAGATGGAGGTTGACTGCAAGATGTATTAGAATGGTCGCTGGCACTACAGACTGGGCATTCGGCAATAGATCTGCAATATTTTGCTGGGTGACCAAAATGCCAGCAAGTTCTACACTGTTGCGGTGTAGGGATCACCTTTCGAACTTGTAACCGATGACCCGCGACAAACAGAGGGCGGGAGTTCACGGCTGTCGAAAGTTAATCGAGCCACATTGCAAGGGTAACGTCTCCGCCCGCGGGTAGGAAGGAGGTAAGTGTCTACTTTGAGGATTGGGAGATCCTGGAGTTCCAGCTGTTCAAGAATGTCATTGCCACATGACTGGAAATTCTGCTGGACTATGGTATGGGGCAGAATGACAGTACCACTACAAGAATTGAGAAAGATGTTTTTCAATAGCGATAGTAGTAGTATCGATATGCAAAAGGAGAGAAAGATCATGAGCTTGGGTAGCATTCTGGACAGTGATGATGCGCGTACCCCTCTCGAGAGCATGAAATGAAATATCTCTACCTACATGGTGCAGGAGCGCTTTGCCAATACTATGGTCAGAAAGATAGGCAGAAGAAGTCTGTCTTAAAGTAAAGAATTTAGTCCATTGTGTGGTCCGAAACCGAGCGTGGAGAGGAAGTGCATGACGTGTCGGTCTTTTCCTAGTAGAATGGGAAGGTAACGAAGGGACATCATCAGGAGATTGCCGTTGGCGTTTAGGAGTAGGACCGGAGTTGGTCCGTCGTGAAATGGGCTGGTGATTCGAAAATTGCCGTACCGTAGAGGGAGAGGCCAGAAGCATAGTCAAAGGAGAGCGGAGGTCAGACAAATCGAAGGAGTCAGTCGAAGCCCCGGTACCTGAAGCAGGTGAGGAAACAGCACCAGCAAGAGGTACAGGGGCATCAGGAGTGTCCGAAGAGTGGTCAAAAAACAAGGCAGGGTCAGAATGGGGTGCGGTATCAAGAAGGGGCCCGGGGGTAGTGGGTTCATGGATTGGGTTCTCCAGGGTTAGGTTACTCCTTTGCTTTTTGTTTTTAAGAAAAAAAAAAAAAGAAAATAAAATAAAAAGAAAAAAAAAAGAAAAAAGGGGGGAGCGGGGAGGAATAGTTCCCAGGAGGAATGAAAGGGCCGGAAATCTCCCTCCGCGCCCAAGAGGACCTCAGCACCACTAGTAGCACAGATGCAGCATGGAACCCGTGCCATACCCTACCCTTCATGCCAGTAAACCAGCAATCCGGGATAGCAACCTCACATCTGCCGAGCTACCTCGGTGGACAAAAGAGAGGGCGGCCGGATATCCGCCACAAAGCATACCTCCTTCGGCCACCACCCCCGGAATCCGAAAGGTGGCTTCCAGAGATACACCCGTCGCCCGAAAGACACCCAAAGCCACTCTCCGGGATACCGGAGAGGGATCGGGACATCCCCAGGCGATCCAGATTCCACGGCAAACTACGCCACCGCCAAGAACCCCAACGGAATGGGATGGACCATGGTACCCTTTCCCCTACCTAGGAACTAGCGCGCCTGTGGGAAAAACCCCAAAGGCCAAAAAGAGGAAGGGCAAAAGGGAGGGGTGGGGAGGAGGAGGAAAGGAAAAAGGGGAGGATGGGATAGGGAAGGGGAGATTGGGGGGTAATTAGGTTCGGTCTGAGGAAGACCGACAGGTCTAATTCCTCAGACCAAGAGCTTCTTCACCACGCCAAGGAGCCCCCCCTTGAAGAGGATGGTGAGGTAGATAAGGATACATTACGTAAAATAGCTCAAGAGAATTTCGTACAGTTATGCTGTGAAAATGCTAGCCAAGTAACATATGATTCCTGGTACGTCTAGAAACATTGGGACATGTTTTCTTAAGGCACCTGCTGTCCGTATTCACCTAGCAGTACATGTACGTATTTGGGTGTTAGTAGACGTGTGGGTAGCATTAACAAGGAGCTTTCTAGATAGTAGTGTTATTGTCAGCTAGGGCTGTACACCTTGTGCATGTACTTGTAGAAATAAAAACATGACCTCGTACAGCTCTGTACAGAAAAACTGCTGCAAACCTTAAGGATTTATTTACCATCATTGTAAACTGCAATTGCACGAGAATGAGATCGGAATTGGTAGAAAAAAGGGGAGCGAGAAGCTATAGCAGGTAATTGAACTTTCGCACAAGAAAATAGGGAAAAACAGACAAATCGTAACTTCCCAAGGAAAAAAAAAAATTCTGGATGGAAATATAAAGGGGGTAAATGAAGAAAGTCCAAGAATGAATACAAAGAGAAAAGGGCCACGGGAAAGATGTGGCAGCAATTAAATAAAGGACTTCTACTAACTTGTTACCATCCTATATGTAGGATAGTGATAAAAAAAAAGCACTAAACCCACTAGGGCCATACAGCACTGAGGATAGTGATCATGAGCAGACAGAATATCAAAGACTATGGGCATCACCCAAATTAAATAAACTGAGGCAAAATGAAGACTAAGGGTACATCTATCAGCCCATCAAGAAAGATGGGCTGGTTTAATGACATCCAGGCAGGTTTCAAGGAGGATATGAGAGTCCTCCAGAACATTCGCCAATCAAACAGAAGACCGTGAAATTTTACCATATCTCGTTCAGACATACAGGAAACAATACAGAGGTATTAGGGACAACAGGGCATCTTGTGAAAGCAATCAGATCCGTTTTAGCAACAAAATTTAAACCCATGAAGTAGCTCAGTTTAAAATTAGATCAGCATTTTTGGAGAGGTTGCTAGAAGATGGCAGTCTGCAATGCACAAGCTTCAGCAAAATCAAATAAACTACAATACCCAAAAGGAGAACAATGGCAAGGTCATTAACCAGACTTGTGGCACCTTAGCATTTAAAACAGTGACTGCTAGCATAAACATGAACAGATGAAATTTGACTTAACACGAGTAGTGTGTGCCTGCTTTCTGTAAGGCGTTATTTTTCATCTTAACTTTAAATTCTTGCTGTAACCTGTAACTAAACCAAACCTAAATTACGAATGCTAACCCAATGTGGATGGATTGGCTAGTACAGCCCCCGATATAAAACCAGGGGTAAAGCAGCCATTGTCCCAAAGGCTCAAGGAATGCGCCTGGGTTAAGATATAATGCCAGGAGGAGCCCAGTTTAAGAGAAAAAATGCAATAACGGTGTTCATTAGCAAAAGCATTACAAACGTAAGCATGTACGTATCTAACTGATTAAGTGGTCGATGGTAGATCGGCCCCAGGGCTGAGAAAACATTTTCTTGGTCTCATTTGATAGAATGAAATAGAGATGATTTTGATTGGCTTCATGCTGAAAAGTACCTTGAAATTGAGTTCAAAATAGCGGAAATGTTCGATTTTTGCCTATGTTTGAGAGTAAACAATACGTGTCCAACTGCCCAGTCTAATACACAGTAACGAATGGGTTGACACTATACAATTATTATTATAATGCAGTAGTTTGCATAACAGTAAATCTCCTATTTTTTGAGAATAAAAATTCAAAATGGAAAGCCAGAGTAATATAAGAGGGGCCTGGAGACATTACTGAACAGAGAAAATGTTATTTTAGTGCCAGGAATGTCTGCATTGTTTATTCTGTACCCTATTTTGAAATTGGCACCTTTTGAAATGTGAAATTGACAAATTCTGACCACTTTACTGGGTAGTTGAAATCGATAAATGGGTGGTTTCTTATACTCAATCGATAGAATAAGTGGAGTTCTAGTGAAATAGCTATGATTTTAGTCGACTGGGTGAAAACAGGGCTCAAAGTATGCGAAATCGCTGGTGCGTAAATATCGCTAAGATTGGTAACTTCACAAGAGCGTAATTTCATAAGTTTTCCATTAGATTTTGTACTTTTGGTATCATTACCATCGGGAAAAGATTCTCTATAATTTCATTTTTTTTTTTTTTTAATTTTTTTCAACACAGTTCAGGATCAGGGGTCTCAACAGTGAAAGGGTTAATAATTCTATCACACAATGGTGACTAGAATAAAGTGACTTGGCCATTCATACTGCAAAACCTGCATTATTCTCCAAAAAAATTTTAAACCTAAATATATTCTAATCTTGTTGCTTATTCCATGTACAGAAAAAAGTATATACAAGAAAAAAATTAAAAGAAATGTTGGATATATTTAAAGGCTTCAGTTAAAGTATCCATTACAATGGTTTATTTTTTAATTGACTTTCTGAGCCAGCCTGCGATCACGCTCTTCGGCGATGCTTAGTTTGATACCCTTACCACGGGGTAGAGATATGTAGGCCTTGTTGCCCTTTCCAATGATGAACACATTGTTCAATCTGAAAAAAAAAATTATTACAACTTAATAAAAACACCACATTAAAAATTTTGACCTTTGCAAAAAGCTTAATTTTTATTTGTTTAGATCTGACAATTACTGTACTGCCCTGTTCAAAGCCCATGCTCAAAAATGAGCTGGAGCCTGTCCAGGTCAGAGTCATTCTAGGACCAGCTGAAACCCCTTTGTGATTGATCAACTAAGGAGGCACTTTTTGGTCCTATGTATATATTCACATATCCTAAGTTGTTTAAATTTGTTAAATCTACTATTTCTATTACATCTAAATCTATTATGTCTATTACATCTATTATAATTATATTCTGTACTAATACAGCAAAGTGCAAACTACAAATTAAGGATGGGATACCACAATCTTTGCCAATACCAATACTTTTTCAACGTTTAATTTAAAAAATGAAGATAATGATGTTCAATATACAATGGAATACTTACTGCTCAATAGGTATTAAATTAACCCAGGGAAGCTAAATATTAAATAACCTAATTTCTAAGATTCCAATGTCATTACTTATTACAGGTACTCCTATATGGTTTACAAATAAAAATAATCTACATATTTAGTAATATGATGAAAATAAACAGAACTCAAATAAGGAAATAAGTGAATAATTTCCAGTTATATTAAATTTTAAACTAAAACATCCAACACCCATGTAATACTATTTAAAATTTCAAACAATTTAAATTAGGAAAAATTTTTATTATTTATTTTATTATCACACTGGCCGATTCCCACCAAGGCAGGGTGGCCCGAAAAAGAAAAACTTTCACCATCATTCACTCCATCACTGTCTTGCCAGAAGGGTGCTTTACACTACAGTTTTTAAACTGCAACATTAACTCCCCTCCTTCAGAGTGCAGGCACTGTACTTCCCATCTCCAGGACTCAAGTCCGGCCTGCCGGTTTCCCTGAATCCCTTCATAAATGTTACTTTGCTCACACTCCAACAGCACGTCAAGTATTAAAAACCATTTGTCTCCATTCACTCCTATCAAACACGCTCACGCATGCCTGCTGGAAGTCCAAGCCCCTCGCACACAAAACCTCCTTTACCCCCTCCCTCCAACCCTTCCTAGGCCGACCCCTACCCCGCCTTCCTTCCACTACAGACTGATACACTCTTGAAGTCATTCTGTTTCGCTCCATTCTCTCTACATGTCCGAACCACCTCAACAACCCTTCCTCAGCCCTCTGGACAACAGTTTTGGTAATCCCGCACCTCCTCCTAACTTCCAAACTACGAATTCTCTGCATTATATTCACACCACACATTGCCCTCAGACATGACATCTCCACTGCCTCCAGCCTTCTCCTCGCTGCAACATTCATCACCCACGCTTCACACCCATATAAGAGCGTTGGTAAAACTATACTCTCATACATTCACTTATTATAATAAGTGGAATCTAGAAACCTAAACCTGAAGTTTAGATAGAGCTTGAAGCACCTCTTTCCATTATTAACTTGACATTTTTCTACATTGAAATATCACAAAAAAAATAGATTAATACATGAAATTAAAAATACAGTAGAGCCCCACTTTACGGTATTTCACTATGGCATTCCGTTAATACGGCTATTTTAAATTATGACCAAAACTCGCTATATGGTTCCCTGTCTTTCTAATATGGCATGCCCCACCCGGTTTGCTTACATTTACCGTAAGCACACATCTCTATGCCTGGAAACTTTCCAAAATTTCAAGAGTTTTAAAGTTACTGCATATTTTATATGTATTCTAATATTTATACTTACGTGTACCTGTACCTAAATATACTTACACATTGTGCTGGTATGCAGGTACATATTAAAATCACTAAGTCACATTAACCCTTTCAGGGTTAGTGCCGTACTAGTACGGCTTGCACACAAGGGTTGGTGCTGTACTAGTACTCAAATTCTAGCGGCTTCAAATCTAGCGAGAGAAAGCTGATAGGTCAACATATGAAAGAATGGGTCTATGTGGTCAGTGTGTGCAGTATAAAAACAATCCTGCAGCACACAGTGCATGAGAAAAAAAAAACCATGTTTTTGGTTTAAAACAGCGACTTTGCAGTGTATTTTCGTATGCTATTTATGGTTGTATTCTAGTTTTCCTGGTCTCATTTTATAGAATGGAAGACATTACAGAAATTGAGATGATTTTGATTGGTTTCACAATGAAAAGTACCTTGAAATTGAGCTCAAAGTAGCAGAAATGTTCGATTTTTGCCAAAGTCCAAAATAAATAAATCAAGCCATGCGTCCAATACACGTCGACTGGCGAGTCTAATATTCTTTCACAAGTGCGTTGATATTTATACCATTTCTACACTAATACAGTAGTCTGCATAACAGTAAATCTTCTATTTTTTGTGAGAATAAAAATTCAAAGTGGAAAACAAAAGAAATGTAACAGAGGCCTGGGGACGTGACTAATGAACAGAGGAAATATTATTTTAGTGCCAGGAATGTCTGTATTGTTTATTCTGGACCCTATTTGGAAATTGGCATCTTTTGAAATTTGTGTGAAATTGGCAAAATTGCCAATTTCAGACCACTTTATTGGATAGTTGAAATCGGTAAACGGGTGGTTTCTTGTACTCATTCGATAGAGAAGAAAGGAGTTTTAGTGAAATAGTTATGACTTTTGTCGACTGGCACATTGGAATTGGCCAAAAATAGGGCTCAAAGTGGGCGAAATTGCCAATGTGTAAACACCATTGAGACGCCTAACTTTACGAGAGCATAATTCTGTAAGTTTTCCATCAAATTTCATACTTTTAGTGTAATTATGATCGGGAAAATATTCTCTATCATTTCATAAGAAAAAAAAAAAATTCTTCCGAAAAATTTCCGACCCTGAGAACAAGTTTAGGAGAGGGCCTGCCGACCCTGAAAGGGTTAATAATAATTATCTCGCATTAAATATCATATGTTAATAGTATAGACATTTCCATTAATCCATCTATGATATTTTTTTCAAAATTATATAATAAACATGCTACGTAACATATAAACATGGTAAACACACCCCACTTTAGAACAAATTAACAAAAATGAGATATGGTTGCCAGGAGACTTGCAGGAGTGATGGCAAGAATAATGATTTCTCTAGTCCAACATCAGAGAAAATGTGTACACTAATATTGCTGGGGGTAACTAGAAAATTATTCCTCTCGTATGCCTCCACTCAATCATTTCTTCTAAAAGATGGTGTTACATAAGAATGGAAGTGTTTCTCTCTATTTATTCTACTGTATCCATGTGGAGACAACATGTACACAATGTGAAGTGTTAGTATTATGGTATAATACAAATGTATGAACCAAAACCAGACACGTCTGTTTGTTTACATTACATGTGGGTGGGGTGGGCTGACCTGGCTGGCTACCATACTTGCCAAATCTGACTTCCTACAAATAAATACGACTCACCTCTCACCCTACATTACGACTAAATATTTTAATGTAAGTAATGGGCGTACTGTGTGTATTTTACTTTTTACTGTTTTTAATGCCTAGTTCTATTGCTAACTCAATATATGTTAGTGTAAACTTGTTATCTAGCATTTATATGCATTTATAAGTGGAAAAAATGCCGTTCTGCTTTCCGGCGATGTCTGTTTTCCAGCAGTAGCCTGGAACCTAACCTGCCATTTAAATGGGGGCCCTACTGTACATTATTTTCAAAGATTAAAAGGTCTCATACTGAAGATGGAAAAACATTTTCTATCCACCATTCTAGTAGACTGCCTTCTTAAGGCAATAATACTATTACCATATCCTCATCTGATACGTTTATGGTAACAAATACTAGTTTTTTTTTTTTTTTTTTTTTTATACTTTTTGAGATTTAGAAAAGGATCCCAAGGCAGTTGTCTCATTTGCAGTTGAGGGGATGCTGGCTACAATTTTTTCAAAACATTTAACCAAAATTAAACTTGTGACACTCTTCCTTTAATCCCCGTTACATCCTGACCACAAGAAATATTTGGTTTCATAGTCTTGAACAATGTTGAATACTATGAGGCTGCACTAGCACTGACTGCATAGGCATGTGTTGCACTGTCATGAGTTTTCTTACATCAAGGACCTAGATATGAGCTGAGAATAGTTATGTATTCAGTGGTTAACTCTCAAACCTATCAAGAGATAAGTGTGTGCTACCTATGACAGAATTCTGGTTCAAAGCACTGCTGATAAATGTTTCAAATATTGTACTATTGGCAGTATTTGAGAAACCAATTTTTTTACACAAAGATGTATATAGGTTTGAAAAATATTGTCCACAAAGATAATTAAACAATAATAATGCACTTATTTCCTTCAAATGATGCAAGGCGAGTGTTATCTAAGGAAACCATTGCCATGACTTCGTTCACATATGAAATATAACAATAAAAAAAATGTGATATTCTGAGGGGCATGTGCATTCTGAATGAGCTTGTGCTTTGGTATTTCAGTTTGTTCTTTATGAGTCTCTAGTTCACTGCAGGTTAGAGTGACTGTCACTATTTGCCTACAATTAGTTACCCATGCCTTTTAATCTACTCCAGAATAAAATCATGGGGTATTTTACCCTGGCGCGTAAATGTCCTAAGAAACGGCGAGGGCGTGGGGCCCCGGTCTTGGTCTACTTAAACTACAAAACTCGCTACCTCGCTATAATATCTAACGCCTTCACCAAACACTCTTCTCTATCATTCTACACTCACACACACTCAAACAACACCTCACAAAAAACACACCAACACACAACAACACCACACTCACAAACTCATCATACAATACTACTCTCCACAAACACTCCACGATACACCACACACATACACACACATACCTCACACCATACACATTATCACACACACACACCAATCACTCACACTCACTCCACACATCACACACACACACACACACACACCAAAACACACACCCACAAAACACACAACCCTCTCACTCACACACACACCACACTCCTCTCACTCACCACCTCTCACTCACAAAACCTACACACACTCTCACACACACACACACACACTCACACACACTCTCAAAACACTCACACCACTCACACACAAAACCCCTCACTCACACACCCCTCACTCACAAAACACTCTCACTCCCCAAATACACTCACTCACACACACTCGCACTCACCACACTCTCACACACCACACTCTCACACACACCCACTCACACTCTCACTCACACTCTCTCTCACACACTCCACTCACCACTCTCATCACAACTCTCACCACACTCTCACTCAACACTCTCACACCACGCTCACACACACCACACTCTCACCCCACACTCTCACACACACTCTCACACACACTCACACACATCTCACCAACCTCACACACACTCTCACACACACTCTCACACCACTCTCACACACACTCCACTCACACACTCTCACTCACACACCTCTCACCTACCACTCTCACCTCACACACTCTCACCACACACACTCTCACTCACACACACCCCTCACTCACACACCCTCCCATCACACACTCTCACTCACACACACTCCACTCACACACACTCTCACTCACACACACACAACCCACACACACCACTCTCACTCACACACACCACCCCCACACACACTCTCACTCACACACACACACACTCTCACTCAACACACACTCTTCACTCCCCACACACACTCTCACTCACACACACCACACACTCAACACACACCACTCGCACCCCACTCCACACACTCGCACCACGCACTCGCACTCACTGCACTCACTCCACCACGCATCACTCACTCACACTCATCACACTCACTCACACTCACTCACACTCATTTCACATCACACTCCACTCACTCACTCACACTCACTCACTACACTCACACTCACTCACTCACACTCACTCCACTCACTCACACTCAACTCAATCACTCACACTCACTCCACTCACTCACACTCACTCACTCACACTCACCACACTCACTCACACTAACCAAACACTCACCACACCACACTCATCACACTCACCACATCACTCACTCACACTCACTCACCAACTCACACTCACTAAACTCACACTCACTACACTCACTCACACCATCACACACACTCCTCAACTCACTCACACTCTCTCTCACTCACTCACACTCACTCACTCACACTCACTCACACTCACTCACACTTCACACTCACACTCACTCCACTCACCACTCACCCAACTCACACTCACCACTCACACTCAACTCACTCATCAACCCACCAAAACTCACACACAACTCACACCACTCACCACTCACACTCACTCACACTCACTCACACTCCACTCACCTCACTCACACTCACACTCTCTCTCACCACCACACTCACTCACATCACTCACTCACACTCACTCACCTCACACTCACTCACACTCACTCACACTCACACACTCACACTCACACTCACATACTCACACTCACACTCATCACCTCTCACACTCACACACACACACACACACACACACACACACACACACACACACACACACACACACACACACCACACCTCACAACACACACACACACTCATTCACTAGGTCTAATCTCAGCTTCTGGCTCCTCTTATCTTTTACTTCCATCTGTGTCCCTAGTTCCCATTTCTCACCTCTCCAACAGGCTGTCCCTATCTAGCTGATCAATTCCTCTGCATATACATGTTGTCTCCCCTGGTCCTGTCCTCCAGGGTGGTTAGATTCAATTCTTTCAAAAGCCTTTCTTCATAGCCTCGCTGCATACTTCTGCACTTTCTCCAGTTTTTTTCATGATTCCTCAGGTTTGAAGTCTATACTGGTGCTGCATAGTCCATTGGCAGCCTGACATATGTTGCATAAAGCACCCTGAATAACTCTTGAGATTCCTCAAGGCCAGGTCAGTACTGGCTCCGGAGGCTATTTTGATGCGACTGACAACATGGGGAGGGTGGGGGTCATGTGCACGCATGTGTAACCCTTCTTAACCCTTAAATGGTCCAAACGTATATATATGTTTTTTCAACATCTGAAAGTATGTAAAAAAATGTAGAAGATCTTTTTTTTTTTACATTTGAAAACGTGTAAAAAAACTTTTATCTAATTTTTTTTTTTTTATATTTGAAAATATGCAAAAAAAAGTAGATCTACTTTTGTAGCACTACGAATTTGAACGTCGATCTGTTTGGACCGTTTAAGGGTTAATTGTTAATTGTATGGTAGTGTTTATTTTACTATTTTTAGGAGTGTAATATTAGTATCTTAAAATGCACTTAATGGCCCCTTCAACAATACCAAAATCATAGCTGATACCCACCAATACCAATACAATGGCACACCCTTACTAATGAACATGCACAGTAACACTTATTATGAATTATGACAATGACAGTACTGTACATACATCACTCAACCCAACACTTACCTGGTGGCAAATATGTGTCCTACAGCATCCTTGACATGAACAATATCAAAACTTCCAGGATGACGCTCTCTAGACACAATGGTACCAACACGACCCAAGTTACGTCCTCCAGTGATCATGCAAAGGTTCCCTGAAGTGTAAAGTGAGCGGGCATGTAAATATTTTAACAAGGACAATTGTTATAGGTTTAAAACTCATTCTTGAGAAAAGCAATGAAATTAAAATTCTGCTCTGTATTACATCTTTACACCAACTTGTCAGCTCATTACCAGTCATCACCTACAAGGTAATAGACTAATTGGTATAGCTTGTCCATGAAAATGTTTAAATGCGTGGGGGAAAGGGGGGTTTAGAAAGGGACTAATGTTCTTCAGTTACATTCCTTCATTTCCCATGGCCCTTTTAGGAAAGGATTTTTCCTTATGGGTTAATTATTTTCTTGACTTTCTCCAAACTCTCTTAAGGATGTGAGGACAAACTTCATTTCACACAATACTGTTTTGTGTAAATTCCAACTGGTTCATTTTAAAACAAGCTACACAAGAATGTGAAACTTGAGGTTCCACACCACCTTCAGTTTTAACTATTGAAAAAACTGGCTAAAATTTTGCATGTGCTTACCTGTCCAAGGAACAGCATCCATGTGCATTGCTAGGTTGGGTGTTATCAGCGATCGAGATACAGATGCTCTATGGCTTCCTACTGTGCCTACAGCCACAAAAGCAAAAGACTTAACACAAACTGTGTTTGACATGCGCTACTTCACCTAGGTGGTTGTCCATAACTTAGCCCATACTCCCAATTTTTCCTGCCTTCAAATTTGTCGCCAACTGCCATCTAAGGCCTAGGCCTGTTTGCCCTGCTCCTAATACCTAATGGCCACATGCTGGATCCTGGGGCATTGCAGGTAAAAAGCTTCAGCAGAAATTCTGAAACAATGGCAAGGAGACAGCAGGGCTTGACTAGGTACAGTGTATTTTGTATGATAAAGACAATAAGAATGGAATGGAATTCTGAAGAGAATTTCTCCAGTTTTGAAGATAATGATGTTAGTGGCACCAGAAATGTAAGTCATGTTAGCGAGAGCAGATATAGCAGTGGCATTTGTACCCACGAAGCCAAGGTATGCAAAGGCCACAAACACAAGTGGCACCACATACTGTGACACCACTGAATAGTATGATGAAACCAACAGCAAACAGTGTATGGAACTGGCAAGAGAATGCATCAACCTATCTCCAGTGTTTCTCATTTTAACCCTTAAACTGTCCAAATGCAGATCTACGTTTTTTCAACATTTTAAAGTGTGTAAAAAAAAGTAGATCTTTTTTTTTTTTTTTACATTTGAAAACATGTAAAAAAACTTTGATCTACTTTTTTTATATATACAGTGGACCCCCGGTTAACGATATTTTTTCACTCCAGAAGTATGTTCAGGTGCCAGTACTGACAGAATTTGTTCCCATAAGGCTGATTTCATAGGACTGAAAAATTACTTAGGTGGGCTGAACTGGAATGACCTGACTAAGGGTCAGGTAGGTGGTGATGGTTGCCGATATGATGCTTTCCAGGGCATAGTTCTAGCTGCTCAGTCAAATTATGTTCCAAAAAGGGGAAATCAGACAAACAAAAAGATCCTAAAGGGGAAAACAAAATTAAATATTGATTGTCAAAAGAGAGGCAAAAATTAGGAAAATAAAAAAGAGGAGAGGGGCAATTGAGAAATCGATATTTTCAGTTAAAGAGAAAAAAAAAGGGGAATTAGAAAAAAAAAAGGATTATGAGGTTAAGTTGCAAGGAACGAAGAAAACCCAAAAAAGGATTTTTTGGGTATACAGAAGAAAGTCGGGACAAGATGGGCCCCACTAAAAAAGTTCCTCGGGTACTCACTGACAGTGAAAGGGAATGTGTAAAATTTTTTTAACACATACCCCTCCAGTTTTTAACAGGAGGATACCACGTATTCCTAATGAAAAAATTATGTAAAAACGGGACGATAATTAAAAAGTGCACTTTAGGTCACAAGGACATGGTCCTTAGGGAAATAGATAAATTTAAAAACCAAAAAAACCCCAGGCCCTGATGAACTGATGCAAGGGTCAAAGGAATGTAAAAAGGACTTAGCACACCCTTTTGGGTAATCTTTTTAACATACACTACAAACGGGTGGTGCCAGATAAGTGGAAATGGCAAAAGTGATACCATTTTCAAACAGGTGACAGGTCCTTTCTTCAAAATAGACCAAAAACCAACCTCCAAAAGGGGAAAATTTTGGAACAATAAATTTCCGGGAGTTCGTAGCCCCCTGAAAAACATAAATTAATCAAGAACTCACTGGTTTTACAAAGGGGCGTTCTGCCCTTTCGAATTTATTAACTTTTTTCACTAAGGATTTGAGGGGGTAGATCGGTAATGAATAATTTTTGGATTTTGGATTCAGAAAGGTTTTAAAGGGGTCCCAATAAGAATTGAGGAAAAAAAAAAGAATGGAATAAGGGGAAATTTTTCCGGTGGGCCCCGGGTTAAAAAAAAAATAGGCACAAGAATTTTTGCATAAAAATGGGGGGAAAAAATAAATGGGGAGGCCACGGCGGTGTTACAGGGTCAGGTTGGCCCCCTGGCAAATTAAAAAAAAAAAAAAAAAGGGGAAAAACAATAACCATAAAAAAAAACAACAAATTCAAAAAAAGAGAAAAAGGGGGCAAAAAGTGGCAGATGCAGTTTAATATAGAAAAAATGAAAAAGTTCTAAAGTTGGACAGGACAATTACCATGCCACTAAAACCCCAAATAATGTAGATTTAAAAATTACGGATTGCGAAAAAGATTTGGAGTTCTGGTTAGCAGTAATCTGAACCAAGACAACAGTGCATAATTTTCGAAAAAAGCAATGAATCCTTGGCTTTATCAAGAACATAAATAATAGGAGTCCTCAGGTTGTTCTTAAACTCTATACACCCCCTTGGGTTGGGCCCTCATTTTAGATTAGCGCACATTTTGGTCACCTTATTACAGAATGGATATAAATTCCGGGAAAATGTACAAAGGGGGATGACAAATTTGATCCCATTATCAAAACCCTTTCCCCCTATGAGGATAGACAAAGGGGCCCTGAATCTGCACTCTCTAAAAAGACGTAGAATTAGGGGGATATGATTGAGGTGTATAAATGGAAGACAGGAATAAATAAAGGGGATGTAAATAGTGTGCTGAAAATATCTAGCCTAGACAGACTCGCAGCAATGGTTTTAAGTTGGAAAAATTCAGATTCAGGAAGGATATAGGAAAGTACTGGTTTGGTAAAGAGTTGTGGATGAGTGGAACAAACTCCCAAGTACCGTTATAAGGGCCAGAACGTTGTGTAGCTTTAAAAATAGGTTGGATAAATACATGAGTGGATGTGGGTGGGTGTGAGTTAGACCTGATAGCTTGTGCTACCAGGTCGGTTGCCGTGTTCCTCCCTTAAGTCAATGTGACCTGACCTGACTAGGTTGGGTGCATTGGCTTAAGCCGGTAGGAGACTTGGACCTGCCTCGCATGGGCCAGTAGGCCTTCTGCAGTGTTCCTTCGTTCTTATGTTCTTATGTTCTTAAGTAAATTAGTCCATTTCAGACCCCCAAACTTACACGTACAAACGCACTTACATAAATACACTTACATAATTGGTCGCATTCGGAGGTGATCGTTATGCGGGGGTCCACTGTATTTGAAAATATGTAAAAAAACAGATCTACTTTTGGAGCACTATGTATGTGAACGTAAATTTGTTTGGACAGTTTAAGGGTTAATGGCAGTGAAATTCAGCAGAACTCTCCAATAACTGAAAATTCCAATGAATTTTGATTTCAAATTATACTCTGATGTTAGATTTGGGAATTTGACTGATTTAAATAATGGCCACTACATACATTTCAGTAAAATCTTAGTTCAAGTGAAAGATACCATATTTGCAGAGATGTATGTTTTTTGCAATGCTCATGCCACATGTTCATAGAAGGAACATATCAAAATTCTAGACCACTGACAGCCTTTTATCAACACCAGCTTTCATAAAATGATAGCTGATCACTTTGTTGCTACTGTGTATATTGCATTTCTCATAAAATAAATCCAAAGATGATCTGCTGTATAAAATGAGGAAGCAATCGTGTACTTGGAGTAAATTCTTTCATCACTTCTATATAGAATGTTATTGACAAGTCTTGATATTATTCAAATGTAGGCTTTCCTTCAAGAATTTTTTTTTTTTAAGTAAGGCCGTCTCCCACCAAGGTACGGTGGCCTCGAAAAAGAAGAAATACTTCCACCATCATTCATTATCAGTCTTGCCACAGGCATGAAATACTGAAGTTCAGATACCCCTCTAAAATACAAATTTCCCCCACCCCTTCATCTGAGTGCTAGAACTGTACTTTATACTTACAGGACTCCAGTCTGCCTAACTAGTTTTATAGAATCTTTTCACAAAATGTTACCTTGCTCACACTCTTAACAAGTAGTCAATTCCCAAAAACTATTTGCCTCCACTTGCTCCTAACACGCTCTCACATACCTACTGAACGTCCAAGCCCCATACAGCAAAAGATATTGCTTTGGTATCAAACAGTTTGTGATGCGAGATTGTGAAACCTATATAGTTAGACCTTGTACACAGGTAAGAAAACCTTAGAAAACACCCAAGACCTTTCAGGAATATCGGCTCCTATTGTCAAAAATGCTGAACCATATCTTGCCAGGGGCATAATATATTCACAATTGGTACACAAGTCCCTCATGCTGTGATTTCCTGAAGGTTGACAATACAGAAATATACAAAACAGAGGAAATAGAAAATTTATACCATAATTCAGAAAGTCATTAGCTCATACGGAAGTGCAGGTATTTCATGCAAATGACAATATGGGATATCAAAGATCCTAGGAGGGATGTAGCCACCATTTTTTTTTTTTAACACGTCAGCTCTTTCCTACCGAGGAAGGGCGACCCAAAAAGAAAAAGAAAGAATTTCATTATCATTAAACACTTTCACCATCACTCATACACAATCACCGTCTTTGCAGATGCGCTCTCAAATACAACAGCTTAGATGTCCTTCCAAACTGCCAATATCCCAAACCCCCTCCTTTAAAATGAGTCATTATACTTCCCATTTCCAGGACTCAAGTTTGGTTAACCAGTTTCCCTGAATCTGTGCACAACATATTACTCTGCTCACACTCCAACAGCTCGTCAGGTCCCAAAAACCATCCGTCTCCATTTGCTTCTAACTGTGTGTTAAATAGGAGTGGCTTTTGGGACTTGACGAGCTGTTGGACTGTGAGCAGGGTAATATTTTGTGAAAGGATTCAGGGAAACTGGTTAACTAAACTTGAGTCCTGGAAATGGGAAGTACAATGCCAGCACTTTAAAGGAGAGGTTTGGGATATTGGCAGTTTGGAGGGACTTCTGAACTGTCGTATCTGAGTGTGTCTGCAAAGACTGATTAAGTATGAGTGAGAGGAAAGTGATGAATGATGTAAAAACATTGCTCGACCTAGAAAAAAAAAATATGTATAATTCTGTAATAAAAACAAACTATAGCTTGTATACATGTTGGCAGAATTACCGACAATATGTAAAGTAAAATGACAAGTGCAACTAATGTAACATTTTATTGTGACAAGAAGAGGAAGAGTAAGAAGAGGAGGAAGAGTAAGAAGAGGAGGAAGAGTAAGAAGAGGAGGAAGAGTAAGAAGAGGCAGAAGAGTAAGAAGAGGAGTAAGAAGAAAAGAGTAAGAAGAAGAGTAAGAAGAGTAAGAAGAAGAGTAAGAAGAAGAGTAAGAAGAGTAAGAAGAGTAAGAAGAGTAAGAGCAAGAAGAGTAAGAAGAGTAAGAAGAGGAGTAAGAAGAGTAAGATGAGGAGTAAGAAGAGTAAGATGAGTAAGAAGAGTAAGAAGAGTAAGAAGAAGAGTAAGAGTAAGAAGAAGAGTAAGAAGAGTAAGAAGAAGAGTAAGAAGAAGAGTAAGAAGAGTAAGAAGAAGAGTAAGAAGAAGAGTAAGAAGAGGAGTAAGAAGAGGAGTAAGAAGAGGAGTAAGAAGAGGAGTAAGAAGAGTAAGAAGAAGAGTAAGAAGAAGAGTAAGAAGAAGAGTAAGAAGAAGAGTAAGAAGAAGAGTAAGAAGAAGAGTAAGAAGAAGAGTAAGAAGAAGAGTAAGAAGAAGAGTAAGAAGAAGAGTAAGAAGAAGAGTAAGAAGAAGAGTAAGAAGAAGAGTAAGAAGAAGAGTAAGAAGAAGAGTAAGAAGAAGAGTAAGAAGAAGAGTAAGAAGAAGAGTAAGAAGAAGAGTAAGAAGAGTAAGAAGAAGAGTAAGAAGAAGAGTAAGAAGAGTAAGAAGGAGTAAGAAGAGTAAGAAAAGGAGGAGGCGGCAATGGCAGCAGTAGTAGTAGAATTAACTTGCACACGAGTAAGAGAATATAAAACCTATTACTTGGGTAGCATAAAAATAGGTTAGACAAATATTTCTATTTGAGGTTGGATTAGAGAAGGCCTGTTTCAGTTTTCATCCCCTATAATAATGCGCTTGTGCAGTATTAGCAGGAGACACTGTGTGATGGCAGGGTTTACCGTTTTCAGGAGGATTCTTGCATTCATAAGCATTCAGGCGACCTTCTCAACATCCGAAACCTCTCCATCCGTAACAAGAAACTAAGCAGTTTGGACTTGACTTCCCTCTTCACTGAAGTACCTACTACGTAAGCCATCGAGATTCTACGATGTTAACTCAATCAGAACCTTAATCTTCCTCTACCTCCCAGACATTTTGTTGACCTGATTGAACTCTGCGTTAATTTCAACTGTTTTTCTTTCAATAACAGGCTCTACAAACAAACCTACGGCATGGGAATGGGGTCCCCCCATCAGTGCCATCTTAGCCAACTTGTACATGGAACACCTAGAGGCTGAACACTTTGCCAACCTCATCCCCTCAAGAATCACTTGGTTACGTTACGTGAACGACATCCAAACGTTTTGATGTACGGAATCTTCAGGAAAGGCTTAACGCAGTTGAACCGGCAATCCAGTTTACACTAGAAGATTCCAATGACAAGCTACCTTTTCTAGATGTCCTCATTCACAAAGTAGATAAATGGAAACCTACAAATAAAAATGATCTCACACACTTCTATTCCAGTCAAGATACTAAGACCAAAAGAGGCATCATCAGATTTTTCCCAAGAGCATACCAATTTGTAGTCCTCAGTTTCCTGACGAGGAATGTACATACATTCACCAAACCTTCACTGATTTACATTTTCCTTCCTTTTCATCTAAGATTGCAAAAGAACTCTTCAGATCATTTATTCTCCACATACCAACACTACTCCTAACAAAGTTATATTCTTCCCAACAGCCAGGTTGCACTGAACATTTCTAAAGTACTTGCACAAACTAACACTAGAGTTGCCATCACTTCCAGCACTTCAATAAAGGATCTAACCAGGACAAAATCCAAGCACCACAAACCAGTCAATGCAGGGGTTTACACTATACCTTGTGGAGGCTGCAACAGGATTTATGTAGGTGAAACAGCAAGAAACCTCGAAACCCACCTCGATGAAAATATTTATGCACATAGGAATGATAACTTGAACAACGCCTGCGTACAACACAAATTCCACAAATCATCTCATGAAATTCAGGGACGCCTGATTAGTGATAAAAAAAAATAATTTCCGCAGACACAAGTGACTTGAATCAGCACTGATCGCCGTTTCTAAAACAAACAAAAAGGCAGCTTCACCATATCAAAAGTCTTAGCAAGAATCCTCCTGAAAACAGAAAACCCTGGTCTCTCCTGCTAGTACTACACAAGCATATTACAAAGGAACCATGGAACATGCCTTCTCTAATCCAACCTCCAATAGAAATATTTGTCTAACCTATTTTTATGCTACCCAAATAATAGCTTTATAACCTTTTGCTTAGGTGCAAGTTAATTGTTCTACCATATTGTATTATTACTACTACTACAACTTATATCACTACTACTACTACCACTACTATTACACCTCTCTCTAGCCTATATAAACCCTCTGTGTCCATGTATTGTTTGTAACGGCTTGACAAAGCTCCTGGAGAGCAAAACGTTGCCACAATAAAATGTCACATTAGTTGCACTTGTGTTCTTTTACTTTACAACTACAACTTTCTGGAACTGTGACTGCTATTGAGGGGTCATTTTTTGCAAATTTCAACTCTCCATAAATTAGTCAACTTTGAGCATTTTAAATTTTGATTCTTATTCTACAAAAAAAATGAACACCGTCACAAGATTTTTTTTTCTTTCAAAATTCTGCCACACCACCAGCACTTTTTTTCCAGGTCTGCAACAATTTAAGGGTTAAAAGCCTTAATACTTAAGACCACTGTGTACAAAGACAAAGGAGCAACCTCAAATTTTTTTTACAAAAATTAACATTTAATGGTAACAATATTGAACTTGTGCACTTAGTAACCTATTGCCAGATTAGAGAATGCAGTATCTATACACAAAGCAACTGATATTTTCTTTTTATCTGAAAAATCTTTTAGCATTGTCTTTAAACACAGTATTAGAAAATTAGCAGTAAAGTATATTTCAAGATTTAATACAATGACCACTTACCATAGCCATCATCATAGTTTCTTAACTGCCAATGTGTCTTGGGACATCATCTTATATTTAACACAATACCCAAGCTCAATTTATTCCAAACAAAATGCTACATTGCTCATTTCTCCTTCGAACATACCAGAATCAAACTTGATGAAATCCTTCATCTTTTTCTTCTCGATGTCAAAGAGGATAGAGTCATTAACTTTGACAAGAGGGTCAGGATAGCGCAAGGTACGGCCATCAGTTGTGACAAGGAAAGGTACACCTTTGGGTCCAACAGATATCTTCTTAACCCTACACAGCTTGTACTGGAAAAAAAAACGGTTTTTATTTTTAACAAATACTCAAATTAACCCTTTCACTCTCCCCCACGTAGATCTGATACTGATACCAGTTTTACTTACATTTTTTTTTTTAACAAGTCGGCCGTCTCCCACCGAGGCAGGGTGACCCAAAAAAGAAAAAATCCCCGAAAAGAAAATACTTTCATCATCATTCAACACTTTCACCACACTCTCACATTATCACTGCTTTTGCAGAGGTGGTCACAACACAACAGTTTAGAAGCATATACGTATAAAGATACACAACATATCCCTCCAAACTGCTAATATCCCAAACCCCTCCCTCAGAGTGAAGGCATTGTACTTCCCATTTCCAGGATACAAGTCCGGCTATATAAAAATAACCGGTTTCCCTGAATCCCTTCACTAAATATTTCCCTGCTCACACTCCAACAGATCATCAGGTCCCAACTACCATTCGTCTCCATTCACTCCTATCGAACATGCTTGTGCACGCCTGCTGGAAGTCCAAGCCCCTCGCCCACAAAACCTCCCTTACCCCTTCCTTCCAACCCTTTTGAGGATGACCCCTACCCAGCCTTCCTTCTACAGATTTAAATGCTCTCCATGTCATTCTACTTTGATCCATTCTCTCTAAATGACCAAACCACCTCAATAACCCCTCTTCAGCCCTCTGACTAATGCTTTTATTAACTCCACACCTTCTCCTATAATTTTTACAATTTCTTTTGCCCCCTCTCCCTTTATATAAAGGAACTATACACAGTTATACACACTACCAATCCCTAGGTACCTTCCCCTTCTTTCATGCATTTATTAAACAAAAATGCCAACCGCTCCAACACTATATCCCCCCCTGCTTTTAACATTTCTGTCATGATCCTGTCAGTTCCAGCTGCTTTACCACCTTTCATTCTACGTAATGCCTCATGCATCTCCCCCACACTCTCAACCTGCTCTTCTTCACTCCTTTAAAGATGTTATACCTCCCTGGCCAGTGCATAAAATTACTGCCTCCCTTTCTACATCGACATTTAAAAGTTCCTCAAAATATTTCCACCATCTACCCAATACCTCCAGCTCCCAATCTACTAACTACCCTACTCTGTTTTTACTGACAAATCCATTCATTCCCTAACCTTAATTTACTTGTTTTTTCTTCTCGGCAAAATTTCTTGAGTGATTCACCCACTATCATTTGCTCTCCCTCTGCACTCTCTCATCACCACTCTTCACCTTTCTTTCACTCTCCAAGCCTACAACAGTTACTGGAAAATGTAAAAATTAAGAAAGCCCTAGAAAAAAAAAAGGGAGGGAGGGGGGGGGAAAGTATAGTAATTAAACTAATATGGAGCACATGGCAAATGTTGACATGGCCATCAGTGAGTCAATGACTTATCAACTTCAGGCATCCATATCCAGGCAAGTACAGATGGGGAAACTTTTTTATTCTCTTTTTTTTGAGGAGGGGAAGAGGGGGGCAATTCATTCAACAGAAAAATATGCCAAGAATTTCTTACTGCAACAATGACAGCACTTAATTTTGGTGATCATGACAGTGATAGGACTAACCCTTTGGGGGTTGAGACCCCTGATCCTAAACACAAATTAAAAAAAAAAAAAAATTTCTTCTTATGAAATGATAAGAATATTTTCCTGATGGTAATGACACCAAAAATTGCAAAATTGTGAAATTCAGCCCTCATGAAGTTAGCAATATTTATGCATTGGCAATTTCGCCCACTTTGAGCCCTATTTTCAGCTAATTCCACTGTTCCACTCGACTAAAATCATAGCTATTTCACTAGAACTCCATTTGTTATATCGAATGAGTACAAGAAACCACCTATTTACTGATTTCAACTACCCACTAAAGCGGTTGAAATTGGCAATTTGGCCAATTTCAACCAAATTTCAAAAGATGCCACTTTCAAAATAGGGTCCAGAATAAACAAGACAGACATTCCTGGCACTAAAGTAACATTTTCTCTGTTCATTAGTCACATCTCCAGGCCCCTCTTATATTACTCTTACTTTCCATTTTGAATTTTTATTCTCATAGGCAGTTGCCGTGTATTGGACGTGTGGCATTATTTGTTTAATCTTAAACATCGGCAAAAATTGAACATTTCTGCCACTGAGCTCAATTTCAAGATACTTTTCGCGAAACAAATCAAAACCATCTCTATTTCTGTAATATATTTTCCATTCTATCAAATGAGACCAAGAAAACGAAAATACAACCACAAGTACCATACGAAAATACACTGCAAAGTTGCTGTTTTAAACCAAAAACAGTTGGAGTTCTTTTTTATTTTCTCATTGCGCACTGCATGCAGCAGCATTTCTTTAATACTGCACACACTGACGACGCAGACCCATTCTTTCATATGTAGGGCTACCAGCTTTCTTCCACCAGATTTGAAGGTGCTGGAATTTTGGTGTATAAATACGTGACTAACACTGGCTATCAAGCCGTACATACACAGGACCAACCCTGAAAGGGTTAAATATTCTGGTGCAGTGTTTGATGACAGAATTCAGTGACCCCTATCCTTCTAGCTATCCTCATTTACCCATGTGTTCAAGGAACAAAAAAGTCTGATAGGTAAAGTACAGGGTAATTATTAGAAACTGTTAACCCAGTGACCTTGACAAATCAAAGCATTTGTATTGTAACTACAAATGAAATGGAATGCATAGTTAAGCTGGTGAAACAAGAGAGCATACCACTTTGCCCTACTCACCTTTGCCTCCTCATCTGTGATTCTATGTGCAATGAAGCGCCCCTTCACGTCATACAAAATGCGAAAGTACTCTCCAGTCTTGGCAATGCTCACAACATCTGTAGTAAAGTAAAGCATTTTAAAGCTTAAAACATTTAGGTACAGTATTACGTAACACTTTCAGCTGAATCCGTACAAGATACACATTCCAATATAACCATGTTATGGGTTACCACCTAATGTAATCAAGGGGGATATTAATTTCAAACTGACTGGATTACTGTCACAGGAAGTATAATCTTTTGAATTCTTACAGGCAGTCTAGGGCTGCTTTACCATTATGCAGAACCTATTCTGTAGTGGCCAGCATTACACACTAATGAAAATAAGGGATACACGACTAAAAATTAAGTCAACACAAGAAAACTAGATCGAGACAAAATATTGAAAGTATTAGCCCTTTCGAGGGTCGTCTCATTGTTCTACACCTTTAAAGCCAGGGTCGGTCCCGTAGTGCTACTCCATGAACATAGCTCTCTCAGATAAGCTGTGAGCGGTAAATTTGGGCCTAGATACGAGAGAATGGTACTATGCAGTAAGTATGCACCACAAAAAAATCCTGCATGTAGTGCATTAAAAAAAAACTTTTGGGTTTAAAACAGCGACTTTGCGGTGTATTTTCATATGGTTTCATGTTTACATTCTCGTTTTCTTCGTCTCATTTGATAGAATGGAAGACATAGATTATATTCCAGAGTACACAAATTACATCACTTGTCCAATACCCATCCAACTGATCAGTCTAATACATGTTCAGAAATGTGCTGACATCGTTTGTAAAATTATTACAATAATGTAGTAGTCTGCAAAACAGGAAATCTTTTATTTTTAGTGTGAATAAAAATTCGAAATGGAAAACAAGCGTAATATAGGAGAGGCCTGAGGACATGACTAATGAAAAGAGGAAATGATGTTTTAGTGCCAGGGATGTCTATACTGTTTATTAGAACATAAGAAAGAAGGAACGCTCTAGCAGGCTTATTGGCCCATGCGCGGCAGGTCCAAGTCTCCTACCAGCTTAAGCCAATGCCCCAACCTAGTCAGGTCAGGTCACATTCCTTAAGGAGCACAGCATTTGACCTAGTAGCACAAGCTAGTCAGGTCCAACTCTCACCCACCCATACCCACTCGTGCATTTATCTAGCCAATCTTTAAAACTACACCATGTTTTATCCTCCATAATTCTATTACCAAACTAGTGCTTTCCTACTTCCTTCCTGAATCTGAATTTTTCCAACTTAAAGCCACTGCTGCGAGTCCTGTCTAGACCAGATATTTTTATCATGCTATTTACATCCCCTTTATCAATTCCTGTCTTCCATTTATACACCTCAATCATATCCTCCAACTCTACACCTTTCTACAGAGTGCAGATTCAGGGCCCTTAGTCTATCCTCATAGGAAAGATTCCTCATACATGGTATCAACTTTGTCATCCTCCTTTGTACGTTTTCCAGAGCATTTATATCTATTCTGTAATACGGTGACCAAAACTGTGCACCATAATCTAGATGAGGCCTAACCAAGGATACATAGAGTTGAAGAACAACCTGAGGACTCCTATTATTTATGCTTCTTGATATGAAGCCAAGGATACTGTTCGCTTTATTTAAAACACTAATGGACTCTTGTCTTGGTTTTAGATTACTGCTAACCAGAACTCCCAAATCCTGTTTGCAATCCACAATATTGAAATCTACATTATTTAGTTTATATGTGGCATGGTTATTTACCTGTCCAATGTTTAGAACTTTGCATTTCTCTATATTAACCCTTAAACGGTCCAAACGTATATATACGTTCACGAGCGTAGCGCCCCAAACGTATATGTAAGTTTTCTTTGTCATTCATTCAACATTGCCACGATAAGTCTGAGTCACGTAGACATGAGAGAATGGGTGCGCAAACTCACTGTGCGCCATATTAAAATAATTGAGGACGCCTGGGTGCCATATGCTCTTTTTTCCTATTAAAAAAAGAATTTTTTTTCTCTCAAAAAATTTGGGGCGCTACGCAAGTGAACGTATATATACGTTTGGACCGTTTAAGGGTTAAACTGCATCTGCCACTTCTCCGACCACCACATCAGTCTATTCAAACCTTCCTGAAGAGCTCTGATGTCCTCGTCAGAATGAACTCGACAGCTTATTTTGGTGTCATCAACAAACTTGACAATGTCGCTCTTTATTCCCTCATCTATATCGTTTATGTAGAAAAAAAAAAAATACAAAAAAAGGCACAATACCGTGACTGGAACGATACACAAATAACCCGCACATAAAAGAGAGAAGCTTACGACGACGTTTCGGCCCGACTTGGACCACTGACAAAGTCACACTAACCAGAAGTGGAGCAGGATGGCTATATATAGGCAGGAAGAGGTAAAGGAGGAAGAAAGGAAGGAGGGAGGGAGGAGGAGGGAGGGAGGGAGGGAGGGGAGGGAGGGAGGAGGAGGGAGGGAGGGAGGGAGGGAGGGAGGAGGGAGGGAGGGAGGGAGGGAGGGAGGGGGGGAGGGAGGGGGGAGGGAGGGGGGAGGGAGGGAGGGAGGGAGAGGAGGGAGGGAGGGAGGGAGGGAGGGAGGGAGGGAGGGAGGGAGGGAGGGAGGGAGGAGGGAGGGAGGGAGGGAGGGAGGGAGGGAGGGAGGGAGGGAGGGAGGGAGGGAGGGAGGGGGGAGGGAGGGAGGGAGGGAGGAGGGAGGAGGAGGAGGAGGAGGAGGAGGAGGAGGAGGAGGAGGAGGAGGAGGAGGAGGAGGAGGAGGAGGAGGAGGAGGTGGCAGCGGCGGTGGCGGCGGTGGTGGCGGCGGCGGTACAAGAATAGTATATAATACCGACAAGATGAAATTAAGACCCGCAACACCCGGGCATCCCTATCGCAGACATGTAACGTTTATGTAGATTTTGAACAACAAGGGGCCCAACACTGACCCCTGTGGAACACTGCTCGTGATGCTTCCCCACTCTTGATTTCTCCCCATTTATGCAAACTCTGCTGCCTATTTGTTAACCACGTCTATCCAGGAAAAAATTTCTCCTATTCCGTGTGCCTTAATTTTCCTCAACAGTCTCTGATGTGGGATTCTATCGAAAGCCTTACTGAAGTCCATATACACTATCATATTTATTACCATGATCTACCGCCTCAAATACCTTAGTTAATAAATTCATAAGGCAGAAATGCCCATTTGTAAAACCGTGTTGAGATTCGTTGATTAATTTACGCTTTTCAAGATGACTACGAATTGCCTCGGTAATTACTGATTCCATAAATTTCCCCACTATGGAGGTTAGGCTTACTGGTCTATAGTTCAAAGCTAAGGACCTGTCACCTGGTTTGAAAATAGGTATCACATTTGCCATTTTCCACTTATCTGGCACCATGTCAGTTTGTAGTGATATGTTGCAAGGATTAGCCAAAGGTTTGCCAAGCTCCTCGTTACATTCCTTTAGAATGCTTGCATACAGTTCATCAGGGCCTGGGGATTTGTTAGGTTTTAATTTGTCTATTTGTCTAAGGACCATGTCACTTGTGACCCTAATCGTGCATAGTTTACTATCGTCCTGTTCTACATAATATATTACTTCCTCTCAGTAAAAACAGAGGAAGTGTGTCAAAAATTCAACACATTTTCTCATCACTGTTGGCAAGCTGACCTGAGTGACTTTTGAGTGGACCTATCTTGTCCCTAATCTTACTTCTGTGTATCTGAAAGAATCCTTTTGGGTTAGTCTTTGATTCTCTTACAATTTTAACCTTATAATCTCTCTCTGCTTTTCTTACTCCCTTTTTTATTTCTCTCTAACTGAATATACTGATTTCTTAACTGCCTCTTTCCTCTTTTGATTTGCCTATATATGCCTCTCTCTTGACCAATGAGATGTTTTACTCTACTGTTCATCAATTTAGGATCATTTTTGTTTGATCTGATTTCCCTATTTGGAACACGAGTTGTCTGAGTAACTACAACTATGCTCTGGAAAACGTCATATTGGCAACCATCTCCACCTACCTGACCCATAATCAGGTCATTCCAGTTCAACCCACCCAGGTAATTTTTCAGTCCTACGCAATCAGCCAAACTGAAGTCAGGGACAGAGACTTGACTGCCATTATTAGGGTAATTCCATGATACATATATTAAAACAGTGATATGTGATCACTTCCCCCAAGCGCATCATTAACCTTAAGATTATTAATTAGCGATTCCCTGCTGGCAAGAACCAAGTCAAGCAGGTCATTTCCTCTAGTTGGTTCTGTCACAAACGGTTTTAAAAAACAATCCTGAATCGTATCAAGAAAATCACTTGACTAAATTTCCTGTCAAATTGCTCCAGTCAATTTGTCTAAAGTTGAAATCTCCCATTAGTACATTTTTCTATGTAGATGCCTTACGAATTTCATCCCATAGAAGTTTACTGCATTCCCTATCAAGATTTGGGGGCCTGTAAATCACACCAAAGATTAGTTTTTCACAGCCCTCTAAAAGCTGTAACCAAACAGATTCAGTGGCTGATGCTTCTAATTTTATATCTTGTCTAACACAACAATTTAAATTGTCTCTGACATACATCGCTACTGCACCACCCTTCCTGGTGACCCTATCAGTGTGGAATAATTTATAGCCTTGTATGTGACATTCAGAAGAAATCTTTTTCAGATTGAGCCAGGTCTCTGTTACAGCAATAATATCTGTTTCCTGCACTTGCAATTAATCTTAGCTCCTCCATCTTATTTCTTACACTCCTGCTATCAGCAGAGTTAACCTTAAGGGAGCTAGTCTCCTGCTGCCCTCTGCTGTCTCCCTTTGCCAACCTGATCCACTGTCTTTATTTATAACTTTATGATTAATGTCTTTTAGTGTTGCAACCTGACTGTTTCCCCTACACACCCATACCTCTATCTTTATCAATCTAAAATCTTACAGACGTATCAGCAATGGCCCTCTCGATCGAATTCGTATTTTGGTCAATGGTCCAAGTCGGACCGAAACGTCGTCGTAAGCTTCTGTCTTTTATGTGCGGGTTATTTGTGTATCGTTCCAGTCACGGTATTGTGCCTTTTT